AATTGAGGCAGTTTTAGACACAGTTTGTGGCTACATTTTAAATGATTTATCTTTAAGGATATTTTTGTTTGTGGTGGTATTTAAAGTAAAACCTTAATGATATTTTGCATCCATTGAACCAAAAATGTAATTGCTTTGTTTTTTGACTTGTGCGTTTTTTGATTGAGCCATCGATATATCTACTTTGGAAATCAAGCATAAAATTTGTAAAATTCAAACAAATTTCAATACACTAACATTGGTTGTTTTATTTAAAACAACAAAGTAAGGCATATTTTTTAATTTCTATATAATTTCCTTTCATTAATAATAGGTAAACAAGTTATCAATTTCTTTTTTATTCAATGTATTGAGAAGTAAAATCTTTTTATGTAAAAATATAATTTATTATCTTCTAATAAATTGTCATATTTAGGTTACATTATAGCACTTTATAAATATCTATGCAAAAAAAGTTAAAAGGCTTGATTTAAAAAAGATATATCTCTGCATCTTAGGTAAGAAATCAGCTAACTTAGCTATCCTCTAGTAATCTAATATAATAATATGTACCTAGTCATTGTTGTATTTGTTTATTATTTTTCACCAATCTAGCTTTATCATCGTTCACCATTTAAGGTTTTAGTGAACCTTTGCAATATTGGTACCTTATTATACTATTTAGCTAATTTTGTCCAATCGTTCAGTGCTTTCTAGGTAGCTTCTTCTATCCCACATGTGTACTTGTGTTTGTGATATAAGGTGTGTTCTTTTATTCAATAATTGTTCTATCAGTGATTGATGTAATTTATCTATTCTGCAGTCGTTTTATATTTGAACTCTTATATTTTAGGTTAACTTAAATGATTGATTATCCTCACCATTCGTCTATCACATATCCATCGGCTTTTAAAGCCGATGGATGCCTTGGCTCATTGGTGAACTCACCGCTGGAAAAAAGAATGATTGACACATACAATCGTCTTTCCATCACTTAATTTACGAACGGTTTGCTGCAAGCGCTGGATACAGCACTGAATAAAAGAACACGCCTACACCTACCTCTACTTTTGTGCTATTGGTACTTGATTTCAAGAACATTTTAATAATAAATTTATATAAATATTTTGTTTTATTTGAAATTTTCATGTCTCGATTGAGATTTTACTATAGCCTCAATTTCAGCCTCTCTGTATTACATTACACAATGTGTGTCCATGGATGGACTTAATTATACTTGTAAAAATATTTATTTTAAATTAAAGAAAAAGTTATTTTTCATAATTTCTCAATGTGAATCGAATTTATTTAACAAGCAAGAAATTATGAAGAATTACTTTTTTAATTTAAAATAAATATTTTCACAAGTATAGTTAAGCCCATCCGTGGACACACTGTATAATGCTGTAGATCTAATTCACATTATAACATCAATAGAACGTTTCAGAGCAACTTTCGGGGTAAGTACCGTAAAAGTGCTAGTGTGATGTTTTCCGAACTTCACTTTATAACTTCTACGAGATGTGCTATAAAAGTCTTGCAGTTGCGGACATTCGGTAGTTGCAGGGATAATAGGGTTACGTTTACGGTACATTGCATGCGAGCTTAAAGAGCCTAAAATTGCAGCTTATTAACGTAGATGGGATGTTTTTGTGCTAGCTGGGGTGATCCCAATAATAAATGTTTTCCTATTTTTCACATTAATTTGAATTTAAAATTACGAAATGTTAATTTTGTGACACGGTTACTAATTGGGCTTACATATTTATGTTTTGATCCGAATTTTTTTTCAATCAGAAACAAATATCTGTAATTCTGTACATAGTTCTGCCTAGAATGAGCCCTGATATTTGACTAAATACTAATTTTTTTTACTAATATGTTTCTGATAACCGATAACTGCAAATTAAGAACTTTCTTACTAAAATTTCTGTACGTTAATATATAACAACTATATAACAATAATAACAACAATACAAGGTATTTTTTTAGTTTAACCTCGAAAATACCTGTTATAGGGTCGATGCTCACGAACGTTTTTAAGCAGTCGCGTTCACGTCACGTTGACGCAAACGCAATTTTTAATTGACACGCAGCGCTTCTTGTCTTCTCTCCCGAAACAAGGCAGAGTAAATTCATCTTAAGAACAGTAAAGATGGATGTAAGTTCGAAAAAGTGAAGTGATATTTGTACCTAATCTTGTTTAAAGTTTGTAAGGAAGAAAAAGGAAATACGTACTGGGTATATCCTTACTTAAGTTTCCGTTTACTAAAGGTTAAAAGGTGCTTTCATATTAAGCTTTTTGACTCAAGAAATAATGATGAATATATATTTTTTAATTATGTTCGTATGATTATATGCTCACTGATGAACTGAATTTAATGCTCAAATGAAACAAGATCATTTAGGAATGTTCCTTTATTTCTTTTAGAATAATTCTGTGTCGAAATGCTCATCGCCCATTGCTACTACGTTTTTCTACCACCTTTTGTGTGTAATTCTTGATACAAACTAATATATCCTTGCAACGCCAATGTACCGCTGAGACGTGGCGTCGAGAAGGTACCCTTTGACTTGATTGAATGAATTTCGACGCCACCGACCGTTGCGTCGACGCGACTGCAACAAACTTTCGCGAGCACTGCCCCTTAAAATGCGGATGTTACTCGGGATATTATTTCATCTTGTAAATCTAAACCATTTATCACGATATCTGCATTAAATATTTTATTAAACTCGGATTGCATGACACGTCATTTATAAAAGTATTTAAAATACCTATGTCGTTGAGACATAAAAATATTTGATCCATCTACATCGGCCTGGTGTAATTACGCATTTTCCAGATGAAATTTTGCATCAGTGGGTCAAGATCGAACTTTTCGTTAAACCTTAGGGACATTTCTCTGAACGTGCAGAACCTATTTAAAAATGTATCTATGGATAGTTGTAAGAAATCCCATGTTCAAGGTCATGCATGCAATTGTTAAAATAATGTTTAATATTAATTTATTCTCGAAATTAGTTTTATATTTCTGTTCCACCTTCAGTTATAACTTTTACATATCCGCACTTCTAAACCTTGCATGCATCTTTATGTTGTACATTTTTCTTTTAGTTTCTTAAAGATTTTTAAAGATAAAATTGAATTAAATCGCCATGGTGCGAATTCTTGATTTTTGTTAATTTTTTAAGGTTCCGGACCTTGTCCGAAGTTGCAAATTTACCAGATTGTTAAGAAAAATAATATTTATATTTGCAACCAATTTTCAAAACTTTGCATTTTTTTTTTTGACAAAATTAGAGGAAAATAAAAAATAATTTTGATATTTTTACAAAAAAAAAAAATATTTCCGTAAAAAAAATTGTATGTCTTATGTCATCGGTTTGCAGTAATTATGCATTTATGATATAAACAAAAACACTATTTTACAAAAAAAAATCATGTTCCGGACTTTCAAAAGAGTTGCAAATCTGTTATAATGTTAAAAATAATACAATATTGCTTCAAGTTTGCAGCACTTTTTAAGAAAGTTATAATAAATTTTGATTTTTTTGAATTATTAATATGTTCCGGGACTCGGAAAAGGTTGGCAAAATTAAATTTACAATTATTTCAATTTAATAAATATTTCAACAAAGTTTGAAAACTTTTGTAATTAATGAATTGATTATCTCTAATGATTGGCCTATTAGTCCATCAGTGCTACAGAGGAAAATAGATGGCTTTAATAAATTCATCATTATTGAGAGTTTTTGACGTTTCAGAGCAGTGTTATGTTTACAGTTTTCTAGCCACATTTATAGCATTTTTTGGTCGACATATCAGTGTCACTTTATATTATACCTTGCCCAGTTTATTATAAAATTCGGAAGCCAGGTTCAAATTTCTGTACCTGTATATAACTTTACATGAACTATTTCTTGGTTATTTTCTTATGTTAATGCTAGGCTTTATTAAGTTTCTATCAGCTTTCTTTATGTACAAAATTGAAATATTTTTGATCAATTAAAACAATTATCTTTTATCCAATATTGCATCACCCTCGTTAAAATACAAGGTGGCGCAAAATCAAGTACCCTATGGAATGTTGTCATGGTTTCGTTTGTAGTTGACATCTGTTCGAGTTTATGAATCGATATACGCCTTGAGAACGTCCCGAAATCGTAAATTTTTTTTATAAAAATAATTCGTCTATTATCAGAATTTTTCCTGGACGCCTTATCTCGAAAAACGCCGATATTGCATATCCGCCAAGGTCTCCCGATTTAACTGTTCTAGACTTTTGGTTATGAGGTTATCTCAAAGATAGGGTATTTGTAAATAATCCTCGAACACCAGAAGCATTACAAGACAACATCCGGGAAAAAATTGACAGATTACCACCGGAGATGTTGAAGAAAGTTATGAAAAATGCTTTAATGCATTAATGCTGGTGGTGGCCATTTGGTCAAACAAATTTTTAGAGTTTAAATAAATATTTTTCATTTATAATATGACTTTTTTAATTAATTTTATTTTTGTATAAAAAACAAATAGGGGACTTTATTTTGCGCCACCTTGTATATGATATTTAAATGTCTATTGAGTTTAATCAACTCTTTGTTGTATAGGGATAATAGTTCTTTAAAAGAAACAAAATATAATCATTAAAATAAATATGGACGGTATATCAAGTCTTTAAAGTTACCTACTTTTTCGTTTTCTAGAAGGATCTTTTGTAGAACTACAGTTTGGTAATAAAAGTAATATTTTGGATCTTAAAGTTAAAACTCTTGAAAATATATTATTCTTACATTAATTAATTCCTAATATTACTACAGCTTGCTGTTAGAAATACATTGAACTTATTATAATCAATATCTGTAACATATTAAAAACGTTGAAATTTATGTGCAGTTCGAAAAAATATCAGCAAATAAAACTTTGATGACCTCGCGTTTTGATTCTGTTAAAATTATCTAAAACCATGGAACGCGAGTGAATAAAATAATAGTGCGAATATTGTCATGGTGCTTACTTTTGTTTCATTGGCGCTGGCTAATCGGCACTTAAACATGTTAAAGCGTGTTTCATTGTCGTCAACGAGATTGATGAATTCGGAGTCTATCAGTTGCCCGTCGTAGTAAGTTATTGCGTCTTCGAAGGGATACTCGTACCCCTGTTTACACTCGCATTTGTAACCACCCGTGTCGAACCCTCGTCCTGGTATAGGGACGCACTGAAAGAAATAGGATCAGGATCAGTAATCAATTCGGAACTTATAACAGATATTTATTACTTACATATGACCCCATATGGTCACATTTATCGGTCCCTTCAAAAGCGTTCTCAGCATAATATGGACCAGGGCACTGATTAATATCCAAGTTTAACAAATCCATAGTAACTGCAACAACACCCCTAAAAAACAATTTTAAATTAGAACATAAGCGACTAGCCTCGTAAATTAAATCACTCGCTTAAATTCCAGTTTGGCCTTTAGACTGTCCCATCCGAAAAACGGAGAAACGTATTTAATCTTCCACATAGGCACTTTTCCGTAACAATCGTAATAAGGCTTACTCCAGAAGCCGTGTTCCAATCTAGCACCTCTATAATAAGTCGGAAAATGTTCATATTTCATAGTATTCTCCCCTGTTTCGTTGAATCTGATCCTGATCTTCATATAGAACTTTTCCAAGTTGTCAAAGGAGGTAGCCCATTTGTGTTTCTGGTATGTGTACCATTGCTTGTTTAGGTACACTTCGTCAGGATTGTCTGATCGTGCCAAGTCTTCTACGTTAACCGTTCTAGTATTCAAATTCTTTTTGTATGCATAAGGGGCGAAAAGGGCTCGGTTTGGAAATTTATTTCGTTCCCAGTAGATTCCTGCTGACCATATGCGGTTGTTACCTGAGAATCCGAAACACCAATTATGTTGAGCAATCTTAAAATCTTGCGTTTTAACTTTAACGAAAAAAAAAAAAAATAATATTAATTACCTAATACTAATGCAAGTGTTTCTCCAATCATCTGGTCTTCGGTCAATTCCTTATCAGCCACCCTATTTCCGGAATAAACTTCCTTAGGATCTGAAACCTGTAGAAACGCGCTTATGAAGTTGGCTAGTCGGAGGGCCATTTTTGCTTCATTTTCGAAAAATTCCTCGGCGCCAAACATCACTCCTTTATTCAACAACAAGTCTTCGGGTTTATACTTCTTACAATTTTCTTTTTTCATATCCCAGATGTACTCCATGACTCGATGAATGTTCAATTTGGGCTGCCTTAAACTGGCCGGGCCGTAAATTTGGTCGCGGTATTCGGGATACTTGTCCATTACTTCTTCTTGCAAATAACTGTCGGATTTTTCCCATTGCACGGGCAGTTCTTGGATCCCTATATAAACGGAAATTCGATTAAACTATTTACGAGGTCAGATGTATTATGTTGGACAGACGGAGATAACTTATAAGATAGTTTTTAGGAACATAACACAATTGTTTTGTTTAATACACTTACCTTCGATTTTTTGACAGTCAAATCCGATGTAATATTGTTCGGATGTAGCTTTTTCGATTATTTCACCCAAGAAAGGTCGCCTGGTTTGCAATGGTCGTCGGTAACCTGGTTTACAGGGACATTGATAACCTCCCCTTCGAAAACCCCATCCGTGAAGTGGTTCGCACTAAAATTTTCATGATATGACGAAGGATGTCTTGTAAACATCTTAAATACACAACATATAACTAATACGTACCGTAGTCGTTATATTTTTACACCGTGCAGTATTTGTAAACATGTTTGGACCGTCGTTCCCCTTACCAACGGGGCACTGATTGATATCTATTCTCTCAAAATCCATTTCAACTACAGCTGCGGCGGTATATCTGAAACAAAAAATTACATATTAGTGTTATACTTGTATTGGAGAGGGTGGAAAGCAAGTGGACTGTATATTTAATGGTGAGGGATGTTAATCATTAATTCTTCGAAAAGTTCCCGCCCTAACTAATACAAGCATTCACAAGAATAGAAGTCATATATTTATTAAGCGATTTATTTTAAAAACAGAGAAGTCAGAAGGACTTCTCACAATATAATTATAAATATTAAAAAACACGAATAGAAATGTTTTGCCATACACGTGACAACACTGCATTTGTAGGAAACAGTCGAATTTTCCTCATAATTATATTAAAAAAAAATGTCAAAGAACTTTTGAATACTGATTTTAATTCTACTAGGTACAAAGAAAAATATGTAATTGAGCTTACATGAGCTCGTTTCCGTATAAAGCTTGAAAGAGAGATTCAACATATATGTCAATTGAAACGAAGAAATTGTCGGCATACAAAATGTCCTGAACAAAACCCAACATTAGGGTTATGAAAACTAGAGATAAGAGGGAGATTCGGCATACTTAAAATACGGTCCCAAACAACGCACGTTAATTGAGCTTTTATAATTATAACCGCATGGGCGCTAGTACTGCAAACGGTATTCAAAATACATGGCTTCTTATGGGAATTATACATAATTTTGTAAAAATAATAAAAATAAACTTGTTTATAGCTAAATAAAGCACGGAACGTACTGTTGTATTTATTTCTAAATAAGTCTTGCATGTTTTAATTGATAAATTATTTAATTTTATCTATAAAAAATACAAATTAGGTAGGTATGACCAAATTCGAAAAAGGTTGTTAAATGCTAAAATTTGATAAGTACAATTTTGTGGCAATTTTTTTTTAAATTGAACCTATATAGTTTTAAGAGCAAAATAAAACACAGTTAACAGATTTTTTATTGTTGTAATACAAATATAAAGGGAGGGATGGAATGTACATGGTATTACCTCTTCCTTTAATTTCAGCTTTCCCCTTTTTATTTTGTTAACAGTACCATCAGTAAAAATAGTCTCATAATATTTAATAATATCTTCTAAAAAATATAGAACAGCATCATCTCTAGAAAGTGCTTTATCGGTACTAGGAACGATATGTATGCTGCAACTGTTCTAAGCGTTTAGTATCATACAAAAACATTTACAATTGGGGTTCAACAAAATAAATAACAGTAGCAACTCTTTAACTAACATTAAAACTCTATAAAAAATAAATTTTCTTTTCTAGTAAGTTAAATTTAATGTATAATTATTGTTGTTTGTAAAAATTTTATATTATAGGAAACTTATAATAAAATAAACTACATTCCGTAAGATACATATTGTGACTAGTTTACAATAAATATTATAGTTAGACATAAATACATTATTTTATACTTACATTATAGTCCGTCAGATAGTGACAGGTTTAGGTGCCCCATTTTCGCATACAAGCCTCGAAGAGGGTTGAAAAGAACATCGATTTTAAGTAGAATGAAAGGAAATTTACGAGTGGCTGCTGGGGATAACACATGGAAAATTCGATTTTCCCTAACTAAAACAAAAGGTTATTTGTTGCCCATTTTTCCACACAAGCCATTTTCACTATATGATTAATTAATAGAACTAGGCTTCAGAAAACCAAAGGCTTTAATGTTGCAAGTGGCTAAAGGGTTGAAATAAGGCCGTAATCTTCTAAGGAAAAATCGAGATTTTGACCGATTTTTCCACACAAGTCCATCGAATGTATGAAAACGTACGTCGTCACTAGTCCGAAAAACATATTTTCTTAAATGACCCGAATGTATAAGTGCATTTTGGGGTCGGAAAATTTTTCTGAAAGGGAAAATCGAATTTTCCATATGTTATCCCCAAGAGCCACTCGTAAATTTTATTTTATTCTACTCAACATCGATGTACTTTTCAACCCTCTTCGAGGCTTGTATGCGAAAATGGGGCACCTAAATCGGTCACTATCTGACGGTCTATTAGAAGCGTTTAAAAGATATTGAATTGATTTCTCCTTGTTTTTTATTTTTAAATTTGATTTGTATCCTGTTTTACAATCTGGAACGACGTAAATCTTGCTTTGATGTTTTTTGTCACTCATGTTACTTGTGCTGAGTTACTTTTTTTCACATTATTTTGATTCTTTTCATCAATTTTTTAAACATTTTACATTGACTTACATAGAAAATTGACACCGCTGTTATTCGACATACCAACTACAGTCAGTTTGGCGAACTTTATGAAAAGAAGGACGGAAATTTGAAATTTGACCCTTGCCGATTCGCCTCCTTCTCTCTAGTCTTCATAATTAGGGTTGCTGTGGAATTAAAAATTTTAATTGTATCTACCGGTAGCGTACAAAATGCAATATCGCTCTTCGTTGAGTAGTCGGGTACTACTGATTGAGTAACTGAAGAAGTTAAGAATCTCTAAAGGTAGATTAATCAACGCGGTGAGTTGGATACTGATCAAAATTTAAAAACGCCAAAACAGCCTCGCATTAGTCGATTGAAATCGAGTCACACCTAGCAGTGTGTTGAATAAATCAGAATCGCTGAGAGATAGGGAGTCTAATTAATTATTCAGTTTTATAGATATTTCTGCGAATAGCAACATTATCGTAATTTAACCCAACAAACAATGAATTGTCGGGGATATTACTGGCCTTTTGCTGTAATTGAAGGGAAAATGCGACGATTAAAAGATAAAACCTACTTTTGGCCTTTCGAAAGTGGTCCAGCATTATGTTGGTTGATGAGGGCCTTATGAAGGGTAAGCAACTGTATTGGGTAAAAACATGGTATAAGTCAGAAGGGTTTAAATTGCTGCAGACTCAACCACAACAGTCTAGGAGGGCTCCGTCCCGCGTTCATAGATCGAGACACCGATGATCGCTTGATACATACTCAACGAGTGGACATGTACTATGCAGCCAGTTTCGCATTGGTAGGGTTATTAGTATCGGTCGACAGTATCGATACTGGTATCATGTGAGATACTTTGTGGTAGAGGCATCGATATTGTTCGATATTATGTTATAGATATTGGTATGGCATATTGAATTCGCTAACTTTGGCGACCTCATAGACGTCATAAAACAAAAATCAAAGTGGGGCCTATGATCCAGAGGCATGGATATTAATAACACTACACTTTAGGGGTGCCATACCGGGAATTCAAAGTGGGGAATAACGTTGTCTATTACCCCCCCCCCCCCCCCAAAGCCTCGGCGTGGGGCCTATGATACATGCAAAAACCCTCTCGGCTCCCGGTCTAATAGCTTCACGTGCGTACATACTATTAAATGACGCTGCTTGTTTGCTCATGATCGTTAGATTTGACCCCAAGTGATTTTCATATCTCCAAATACCTACAACAAGCGATATAATGAAGAAATAAAATTATTTTAGAAATATTTTTATAAATAGTCCACATTTTAAAATGGTTATCCGGATGTTTATCTGTTGAGACAACTCGATCGTCAGTTAATAAACCATAACAACCCATCGGAATTTTCAATCCTATTACATAGAAAAAATCAGTAAGGGTGTTTATTTTTACAAGAAAAATATTTAATTAGGCATAAAAATAGATAAAAATAAAAATAAATAAAAATATAATAAAAAAAAAATAAATAAAACTAAATAAAATTAAATAAAATTTAATAAAATTAAATAAAATTAAATAAAATTAAATAAAATTAAATAAAATTAAATAAAATTAAATAAAATTAAATAAAATTAAATAAAATTAAATAAAATTAAATAAAATTAAATAAAATTAAATAAAATTAAATAAAATTAAATAAAATTAAATAAAATTAAATAAAATTAAATAAAATTAAATAAAATTAAATAAAATTAAATAAAATTAAATAAAATTAAATAAAATTAAATAAAATTAAATAAAATTAAATAAAATTAAATAAAATTAAATAAAATTAAATAAAATTAAATAAAATTAAATAAAATTAAATAAAATTAAATAAAATTAAATAAAATTAAATAAAATTAAATAAAATTAAATAAAATTAAATAAAATTAAATAAAATTAAATAAAATTAAATAAAATTAAATAAAATTAAATAAAATTAAATAAAATTAAATAAAATTAAATAAAATTAAATAAAATTAAATAAAATTAAATAAAATTAAATAAAATTAAATAAAATTAAATAAAATTAAATAAAATTAAATAAAATTAAATAAAATTAAATAAAATTAAATAAAATTAAATAAAATTAAATAAAATTAAATAAAATTAAATAAAATTAAATAAAATTAAATAAAATTAAATAAAATTAAATAAAATTAAATAAAATTAAATAAAATTAAATAAAATTAAATAAAATTAAATAAAATTAAATAAATAAATAAAATTAAATAAAATTAAATAAAATTAAATAAAATTAAATAAAATTAAATAAAATTAAATAAAATTAAATAAAATTAAATAAAATTAAATAAAATTAAATAAAATTAAATAAAATTAAATAAAATTAAATAAAATTAAATAAAATTAAATAAAATTAAATAAAATTAAATAAAATTAAATAAAATTAAATAAAATTAAATAAAATTAAATAAAATTAAATAAAATTAAATAAAATTAAATAAAATTAAATAAAATTAAATAAAATTAAATAAAATTAAATAAAATTAAATAAAATTAAATAAAATTAAATAAAATTAAATAAAATTAAATAAAATTAAATAAAATTAAATAAAATTAAATAAAATTAAATAAAATTAAATAAAATTAAATAAAATTAAATAAAATTAAATAAAATTAAATAAAATTAAATAAAATTAAATAAAATTAAATAAAATTAAATAAAATTAAATAAAATTAAATAAAATTAAATAAAATTAAATAAAATTAAATAAAATTAAATAAAATTAAATAAAATTAAATAAAATTAAATAAAATTAAATAAAATTAAATAAAATTAAATAAAATAAAATTAAATAAAATTAAATAAAATTAAATAAAATTAAATAAAATTAAATAAAATTAAATAAAATTAAATAAAATTAAATAAAATTAAATAAAATTAAATAAAATTAAATAAAATTAAATAAAATTAAATAAAATTAAATAAAATTAAATAAAATTAAATAAAATTAAATAAAATTAAATAAAATTAAATAAAATTAAATAAAATAAAATTAAATAAAATTAAATAAAATTAAATAAAATTAAATAAAATTAAATAAAATTAAATAAAATTAAATAAAATTAAATAAAATTAAATAAAATTAAATAAAATTAAATAAAATTAAATAAAATTAAATAAAATTAAATAAAATTAAATAAAATTAAATAAAATTAAATAAAATTAAATAAAATTAAATAAAATTAAATAAAATTAAATAAAATTAAATAAAATTAAATAAAATTAAATAAAATTAAATAAAATTAAATAAAATTAAATAAAATTAAATAAAATTAAATAAAATTAAATAAAATTAAATAAAATTAAATAAAATTAAATAAAATTAAATAAAATTAAATAAAATTAAATAAAATTAAATAAAATTAAATAAAATTAAATAAAATTAAATAAAATTAAATAAAATTAAATAAAATTAAATAAAATTAAATAAAATTAAATAAAATTAAATAAAATTAAATAAAATTAAATAAAATTAAATAAAATTAAATAAAATTAAATAAAATTAAATAAAATTAAATAAAATTAAACAAAATTAAATAAAATTAAATAAAATTAAATAAAATTAAATAAAATTAAATAAAATTAAATAAAATTAAATAAAATTAAATAAAATTAAATAAAATTAAATAAAATTAAATAAAATTAAATAAAATTAAATAAAATTAAATAAAATTAAATAAAATTAAATAAAATTAAATAAAATTAAATAAAATTAAATAAAATTAAATAAAATTAAATAAAATTAAATAAAATTAAATAAAATTAAATAAAATTAAATAAAATTAAAATTAAAGATAAATAAAAATAAATACAAATGAATAGTACAATTAATTAGAAACAAATAAGTAAAACTTCTTACGAAAAATAATATTTCTCGATGTCCCGACACCTCGACAGCCTAAGGGAGGACTGCTTTTCTCAAGGACGATTTTATGTGACCTGTTAAAGTCAGTTCCGCCTGCAATCTGGTGATATTAGCTAGTTTCATATATTTTTAACAGAATTAAAAAAAGGAGGAGGTTCTCAATTCTTCGGAATATATATTTTTTTATGTATGTTCAGCGATAATTCTTTACTAAGTTGTCCGATTTTTCTGATTATTTTTTCTTAGAAAGGGGATACCTCAGAGGTAGTTCCGTATACAATTCGTTAGGATCTGATGATCCATGAGAATATTAAAATCTTAATTTTTAAGGACATCTGCACGATTTACGATTTTGAAGTCGGTTTTTTAATATAAATTGAAAAAAGACTTGTAAATAATGGGTGGATCAGTTTCAGCCATTATAGGCCATTAATGCATATTATAATTAAAGCAAAAGAAATATTTAAACAAAAACATTTAAATAAACTGGGTATTACTCCTGTTCAAATTGGTTTGTGATAGGTGAAATTTTCATCGTAATATTTTCCATGTCACATTAATTTTTAAACATGCTAAAAACGATCTAGATCAGAAAAACACCTGCAGGATCAAGTATCCTTACATGCATCATAGACCTAATATGGCGACAGCGAATATAATATAGAAAGTTAATAAATTGATTATTTAAAACTGTTCAAATGTGGCCATTTTCAGAAATGAAATAAAATATAATACATAATTTTTTTAGGCATTTTATTTCATTAAATTTGACCGTAGAAGAGAAACCCACTATAGACGATTTACCCCAAAAGTTGTTGATACTATACCGTTATAGGTATATTGCTGGTATGTTCGAGGTAACAGTAACAGCACTTAATTTATTTCAAACAATATTAAATATTTAATAATAAACTATCTTTTAAAAAGTACAATTACATTTTCATGCAAAAATTCCCCAATTATTACCAATGGAACCAAGATTACTAATGTCTAATAAAAATTCATACTTATCCGCTGCTCGCTTAGCCTAGTTTGGCTGTATTTTAAATTGACCTCATGGTTTATAAGGCAATGCCCAAGGAAAAATGCATTGCAAGTAGACAGAGATATAACAGCATATGCGACCGCTTTGAAGTTGAAAAGAGACAACTAATTATCGATAACCGGCCAATATATCTTTCACACATCTATCATAATGCACGTGCTTGAAAGCGCCTAGACCTACGCAGCATCAGCATCATAGTTCCGTGAAAATAAAAACCCAAATAAAAGGGTCAGCTTAAAGTGGTTTACATTTTTAATTATTATTTCGTCTTGTGTTTCGGTGTATGAATTTTCAAAATGTTGTTTTTTTGACTATCCAATGGATATCTCAAGGAATATATATTTTATTTGGTCTATTTAAAAGTAAAAAAAAAATAGTTTGCGCTCAATACTCCAAGAAACGATTCAGTGCGGGCCAGGGGCGGTTTTGTCTGCGACACTATCCACCCCAATTTGACCTACCTCTACAATAACTTCAAACAAAGGTTATGAATAAGTAAGTTACTTACATTGAATATTCAATATGCCTAAACCCGGTATGTCTAGGATATATATCGGCAATTGGGACAACGGCAGCCACCAACCACTTATTAGATCGTCCACAATCGAAATACGGCTCCGTAAATTTGACAGGACCTGGACTTTCATCGGCCGCGGGAGGACCGTAGAAAATAATCGTTTCGTTTGTATTATTGGCGTATCGAATCTTAATTTGATACGTGGTTTTCGTATCGTACCTCCCTTCGAACTTGTCTGGTAGCCATTTTTTGTACCAAGAGTTAATCCGGTAGTAATCTGAGGTATAATCACTGCTAGTATCTAGAGGTATGGCCCCCAAATCGTCCACGGTAAACGTATTCAACGTGGAAATGTGTTCCAAATGTGTTGGATCGTTGAAATCGTGGGCTCTGAAAGTCCTTGGTGCGAATCTGGAACAAAACAGTTTATTTTTAGTTATTCACGAAATGAATTCAAGAGATCGCAACTGTACTTTTATTTCAGAAGCATCATTATCAATAGACACAATATTAAAAAAGTATATTAACGGAAAATTCATTACATACAAAACAATCCAATTAAAATTGAATATGTATTCATTAAAGATTAAAATCGAGCATGTCTATTGCTTGCTGATGAGTCCTATAAATAAGGAAGAAACGGTGGTTCTCCTTAGTAAGCAAAATAATTCAGAAAGATTTTAGAATTTATTATAATATAATAATATGCTGAGCTGAGCACCGATGCTGCATTGGTGGCTTTAAGGAGAAGTAAGATAGTTGGGGAGGGAAGAATGTATGTACCGACTAGAGTTGTAATCTAATTTTTTAAAATTATTGCAAATTCGACTATATGCTTCGGTGGCCTGATTGGTAAAAACATTGGGGACTAAACTGGGAGATCCAGGTTCAATCCCTGGCCGAAGGCACCTATTTTTTATTAACTTCTCAGCTTTTTTAATTTTTCTATGGTTTGTTTTCACTTTGGGGGTTGTGCTTAATTTAGAAAGGGGAGTTTAGTACACTCAGTTGGTACTTTTACCTGATGGGTAATTTTATATATTTCGATGTGATCTTTCCAAATTTCAACTTTGCCGCTCGCGCCACCATAGAAAAATGATACCTAAAAGCAGTTTTTTGACAATATTTCCTTTCCGACTTATTTCACGATAAAAATATTTATATGAAAAATGAAACTAGCGAAAATTTCCTACAATTTATGTATGCATAATTTTTTCTTTCTCTTCATTGCTATCTTGTAATGGAACTTTCTTCTTCGTCTAATCTTAGAAACCTCATTCTAGCCAGGCCTTCACATTGGCACAGGACGTGGACTGATGTTTCCTCTTCTTTTTCACAGAACCTGCACAAAGTTGCTTCTTTTGCTGGATTGATGACACTCATGTGCCTTCTAAGGCGACAGTGTTCCAGTAAGAAAGAACTACTGTTATCCTAACGATTTGATCCTTTTGATCCAGCAGGTATTTCGTGAACTTGGCCGATGGTTCCTTGATGAACAGTTTGGCCTCTCTCAGTCTTGGATAGTTGTTCCACTATTTCTGAGACTCTTTGCATCCATTGTTTGATGAATGCCTTGTAAGAGTATAATGTCTTAGTAACTCCACAGAAGGGTTTTAGGCCTTTCACAGCCTTATCTGAGCCTTCTCGGGCTAATTCGTCGGTCTTTTCGTTGCCCTGATATCCTTCATGGCCTGGCACCCAGGCTAGGGTCACCTTGTTTTGACTACTTAGCTCTGCTAGGTCTTCTAGACAGTCTTTTACCAGTGGTGATTTGATTTCTGGTGACAGAATTGCCTTTGAGCTGCTTGGCTATCAGAGTATATAGCAATAGTTTTGCCTGATACATGCTAATTTAGTATTTCTCTTGCACAGTGTTATATGGCTATTAGGTCAGCCTGGAACATTGTTGCATATTTTCCTAGACTTAGCGAAATCGTCGTTTTCGACTTGGGTTCATAGATTCCAGCACCGGCTTCTTCCTTCGTTTTTAAACCGTCTGTGTACCAGACCAGTTCAGTCTGTACGGGAGGTCTCTGTTTCCAGGATTCTCGGGCTGGTATTTTAATTTTAAAATTTCTTTCAAATTTGTATGTGGATAGGTGCTCTATCAGTAGGCATACCTAGAAACTTACCCCTTTTTACTTGCTGATATAGCCTTGTGTGGTTGGCGCTATGTAGTTGGCTTATTGGGTTTTGTCCCTGCAATAGCCTGTATTCAGCTGACCTGGTTTCTCCTTGAATGAAGATGTGCAGTGGCGTGAGGTTTAATAATACCTCCATTGCTGCAGTTGGCGTAGTGCGCATGGCTCCAGTAGCACTTAGATAGGCGAGCCGCTGAATGTCAGCGAGTTGGCCTATTGCACTTGCCTGCGCCATTTTGGTTACACACGCCACCTCGCCATAGTTTATCATGGGTCTTATCGCCCTTGTGTAGCAAATAATAAAATTTCAGATTTAAACAAAATCAAAACGGATAAATATTTATCGCACGTCACTGCTTAATTTCATTAAACCAGATATTGGAATGTAAAATAAAAACCTGATCTGCTTATCAGCACGCACAAACATTCAATTAATCGATGGAAAAATTCTTGAGTGTAATAATTTAAATGATTAAAATTAATTATAAAGAAGACCAAAACAATAATATGCTTTTATAAATACTCATGGAAACATTTTCTTCTCTACTATGATATAATTGTGTAATGCTTTTCACTAAAATTAACAATCATTCATGAGCAAAACAAACGTCTTTTGACTACTTGAACTATTACTACTATTATTGCTTATTGGCAATCCGAATAAGGTTTCTCGAGGAAACTGTTTTCGAAGCACAGTCAAGAGCTTGTTATGAAAACTTAAAGCCACTGATATGCGAAGAGAAAGGAAGAGTCACTACTTAATCCAAATGCTATTTCAATTTTATTATGGACCCTACAAATAAGCGTCATCAGACTTGAACTGCCACAAAAAAGAATGGACAATTAAATCGGATAAAGACAAAACATGGGGACATGCTGAGATACCTTAAAGACTTCCTATACAAGCATTTCGGGTGGTGGAAGCCGTGACTTAGACAATGAGACATCCAATTGTGAAGAATCAATTCATTCTGTCATATTCAGGTTGTTTTATAGTAAAAATAATTGTAATTACCTTGGAAATGTCTTATTAAAGAACCCTCTATAAGAGCTGGAATACGACATATTAGGTGAGAAATAAATAGCACTAGCGTTGATATGTTTATTGGAAGAAACATCAGCTACTGTTGACAAAAAATAGTACATCATTCCAGGATCGTACGTGTCATTAATGGCAGGTCTAATAAATCTGCTCTGGAGAATGTAGGACCAAAAGAAGGCCCTGTTCATTGCCATATTGTGGATATGCAACAATTTAGTTCTGTTGGGAAACACAGGATTGATGTTGAACTCTTTGATATCCGGCAAGTGCGATACCGTTCCCTCTGGCAAGTACAAATTATTAACATGTTTTCTTTCACAATTGTTTTGGTTCACCCCCTTCATCGCAAGGGATATTCTGTCGAAGGAGTCCTTTGATTGCCACTCATATTGCCCTGACACGCCTACCGTTAATAAAAAAATCAAAAACAATTTTAAACCGCATATTTTGAACGACGCACTGTAATAGGCGGCACTCTTTCGCGGTTTCATATTTTTGTATATTCTATTCTGACATTAGAGTTTACGGCCAAACCCTCCGTACAAACAGTGCGGTCTAAGAAACACTCAATTTAATTTATAGCCACAGCCCTGGATAAACTTTGGACCCCATTTATGTCTGAGACTATGGAGATAGAAGGAATGGTGGGGATGGTAGGTATCTGAGAAGATGTGTTGCTGACCCAGTATTTCTATGTTGCTAAGAGAAAACCTTTGAAAAACCTGATAACAGGTCAGGCAGCAGTAGGAATCGTCGATTCATCGATAACTAGTTCTAGTGACGTGCGGCATGCAAGCTACTATTTGGGAGAAAGTAGACGACGCGACACGGTTTGCAGTGGTTTGAATCGTGCTGAAAATTACCAAAATCACTTTATTTTATTTTCTTGAAATTTATTTGTAAATGAAAACAATTATATAGTGATATCAGCTTAAAAATTAAAATTTTAAACAATGACGCAATAAAAATTTGATACATTTATCATGTATACAGTGTCCGGCAAACCGTTTGCAAGATCCATTCGCTTTTAATGTGGCATTCCTTACTAAGGAAAGAAAACTCAATGTCATTTATTACAAAATGGACTACTAGTTTCGGCCTCTATGAGCCATTATCAATCCTAAAAATGTAGGATAAAAAATATACAAGTTACAAAATTTAAGAAAATTAAGAATTTGTTGGTTATAATGTGATTGATGTAATTGAAAATTTTTATAAAAATAAAAATCCAAAATAAACTAGTGTTTAATCCAAACCGTGGGAACATTCAACGATAAGTGTAAATAAGGGGAGCGGGGAAGTAGAGAGAGGAAAAATTGTGAAGGAAGGTACCCAGACAGCACACCAAATCCTTTGGATATCTACTGAATATCCCAATATCCACTGAATGTCCAGTCCATGGTAGATATCTATTTTATATCCATGAAATGTAATTTATAGACATGCAAATGTCCATAAATAATAGTAATTATACAACAAATTATTAAAAAAATGACGCCATTGTGGCTAATAGTACCGTTCAGATATTTAAAATTAATTTTTTTAAGGTCTATTCAATATCCCATGAACATCCACTAAATATATCAAAGTCTAGGCGCGAACGCACACCATCGTGGATATCCACTAGATGTTATTTGATTCTGCTTACTAAGTATAGATGGCGATACCACTATCGCATCTACTCATGCTTGACCCGCCGTAATTGAGTTCGATCGAAATGTGTGTCCTATTCACTCCATTAGAGACTGGAGTCGAGAATTTTTATTTATTGCTGAAGAGTCCTAATAAGGATGACTTTCTCCTTAGTGGGCAAAATCAAAGGCAGAGTGTTGAAAATATTTTGAGTGTTGAAAATATTTTTTATCTCTGCTATTTTCTTTCGACGTTATTCAATAATCATTGGTTACTTATGAACCTCTACTAAAGATACCCATAAAATATTTTGCTGAATATCCGAATATCTTCTATATCCTGGGATATAGACGGACATTTGGTTGGATATCCATAGAATATATTCTGTGGATATCTCCGGGATTTCTTGTATTGTCTGGAAGATACCCATTAGATATTTTGCTGGATATCCATATATCTTCTATATTCTGGATATAGACGGACATTTGGATATCCATATTAGATCCACGGAATATTTCTGATATCCTGTGGATATATATTGGATATCCACAAAAGATATTCTGTGGATATCTCTGGGATTTGGTGTGTTGTCTGGGTGAGAATGTCTGTAGTTAAAAAGAGAGGTCAATAGATCCATGAAACAATGTGCCTGCTTGAAACCACGCTATTTAGCATCATTTTGTGCGTAGATTACGTTACAGTTAACTTCGCTGAGTCCAACGATTAGTCGTTGTGCTTGGTCACTGTGACTGTGGGTCTTAATGTAACGTTACCAAATTTAGTAGATTTCTGCTTTTTTGGTAGATTTTCAGCTTTTTTGGCTAGTTTTAGTAGACACTTTTTTGGTAGATTTAGTTGATTTCTATAAATTAATAAAAATTCCAATTACTCAAATAAAACTTACTATTTAAATAATTTTGTTGCTAAAAATGATTGCTAAAAACGTTAGGGCCGGGCGATTATTAGAATAAATAATCAGTTATTTTCGATTAATCGATTACTTAAAAATAATCGATTCTTTAAGATTTATCGATTATTTTTGATTAATCGATTCGTTTCGATCAACTGATTCTTTTCAATTAATCGATTTTTTCCGATAGACCGATTATTTTTGATTAATCGATTCTTTTCGATTAATTTATTATTTTTAATATTCGATTCTTTTCGGTTAATCGATTATTTTCGATTCGTTTCGGTTAATCGATTATTTTTGATCAATTAAGTTTTTCATTAATCGATTATTTTTATGAATCGATTATTTATTACAGCAAATTAGTTATTAGTTGAAGTGTTTGAAAACAGTATTATATTGTAATCGATTAATCAAAATCGAGTATAATAATTATCTCTAAAAAATCGAAAATATCCGATTAATCTAAAATAATCGATTAATTAAAAAAAAATATCGATTTTTTTATTTTGTTCAGGGTTTGCAGTGCGAATCTGAATTTTTTGAAATTATTGCGTTTATTCATATTGTGGTGTAGTGTAAATAAAGTTTTGAACAGTTCTACCGGGCGAAATGGGAACAAAATTCATTATTTTCATCTTATCTTTGCAACGTCCAGGATGGGTATAGTGGCTATTGTATAGGCAGGTAATTTAATAAAGAATTGCTTCACTAAAAGAGCAAAATGTTTATTATGCGAAGTATACAAAGCATATTTTAGGATTCACTGGTAGCTCTAAGGTTTGTTGTCTCTAAAAACTAACCAAAACAATAGGGAACACTTTTGCTTTTTTAGATTTACAAGGTGGACTTTTTTTTCAAATTGGAAACCCTTTTTTTACATATTCTTAAAGTTCATAAAAAAATAAGAAACCTTTAAAGGAAACATTTTTTTTATTGGACTTCTACTTATTGAGTATCACCTACTTGAAAATTTTGCTGCGCGAAAAAGTTGCACTTTAATTTGAACACCCGGTATATTATACTTAAACAATGTTTTCCTATCCATCTGGATTACTTTCTGCATACGTCCATTCCACCACATAATTTCAGTCACCTGATGACCGATGCGCATGCGCACTTTCAGGAAATCTTATCATGACTTCTATAGCCTTCCACCTGACTTTCATGATTTCACACTGACTTCAAGTGACTTTAAAGAACTTCCACGGACTCCCATTTATTTCCAAGGGACTTACTTGAGTCTGTACACCAGATTTCCTTAAAGGTTTGCCCCTCGCCCAGCTATACGCCAGTGTCTGAAAGCAATTGAGTGAGATGGCCAATCTTTTTGTGTAGTCACGTACTACACTAGACAAATTCAAACATTCCATGTACCTTTTCACCAATACAATATTATGCTTTTAGGTGAACAACGCACGAGCTGCGGCGGATGTTAATTTATATATGCGTAACCGCGCGGATGCTAGTGCGTTGTTTGCATATATTCCTACCCAGACAGCACCCCAAATCCTTTGGATATCTACTGAACATCCCAATATCCACTGAATGTCCAGTCCATGGTAGATATCTATTTTATATCCATGAAATGTAATTTATAGATATGCAAATGTCCATAAATAATAGTAATTATACAACAAATTATTAAAAAAATGACGCCATTGTGGCTAATAGTACCGTTCAGATATTTAAAATTAATTTTTTTAAGGTCTATTCAATATCCCATGAACATCCACTAAATATATCAAAGTCTAGGCGCGAACGCAAACCATCGTGGATATCCACTAGATGGTATTTGATTCTGCTTACTAAGTATAGATGGCGATACCACTATCGCATCTACTCATGCTCGACCCGCCGTAATTGAGTTCGATCGAAATGTGTGTCCTAATCACTCCATTAGAGACTAGAGTCGAGAATTTTTATTTATTGCTGAAGAGTCCTAATAAGGATGACTTTCTCCTTAGTGGGCAAAATCAAAGGCAGAGTGTTGAAAATATTTTGAGTGTTGAAAATATTTTTTATCTCAGCTATTTTCTTTCGACGTTATTCAATAATCATTGGTTACTTATGAACCTCTACTAAAGATACCCATAAAATATTTTGCTGAATATCCGAATATCTTCTATATCCTGGGATATAGACGGACATTTGGTTGGATATCCATATTGGATATATTGAATATCCACAAAATATATTCTGTGGATATCTCTATGATTTCTTGTATTTTCTGGAAGATGCCCATTAGATATTTTGCTGAATATCATTAGGATATCTTTATCTTCTATATCCTGGATATAGACGGACATTTAGATATCCATATTAGATCCACGGAATATTTCTGATATCCTGTGGATATATTGGATATCCACAAAAGATATTCTGCGGATATCTCTGGGATTTGGTATGTTGTCTGGGTTGTCATTATGGTCCTTTATAGATTTATGATAAGCACTACTTAATCGAGTTCTTATATTAACGCGTCCAAGACTACCGAAATTCATAACATTATTCATACATGTATAGTAGAAGAAGAATGTTTTGCCATCTTTTGTTTTAAATGTTTTATGTTAGTTAATCCAGTTTTAGTTCATAAGGAATCATCAGTACAGGGAAAACAAAGGGTGTTCTTTACATTGCATAAACAAATCCAGTCAGAAATGTCGTACATAGTTGGCTTAAAATATCTGTTAATTTCTTTCGCTGCCTTTTGTGGTTTATTTTAGATCTAGAAGAGGTTTTGGTAGTCCTTTTTCCTTTATTTCTAAACGTTTTTCAAAAGTCAAGGTGCCGCTTATTTTAAACTGAAGTATTTCTTGCACAGTCATAATAGAAGCCATTGGTAAATGTTTGATATAATATAATAACTACACTACACGTTTGCACAGTCCACAATATCTAAATAGCTAGTTAAAAAGAAAATTTTGAAAATACATGCACCGAAACAATAATTAAAAAATGTAAACCACTTTAGCCGAACCGTTTGTGGGTTTTTATTTTCAACTATGATGATGCGTAAATTAGTAGGCGTAAGGTCTTTCGAACCCTTGGCATAGATATATTTATTGCATTTTGGGTCGAGAGTAGTGAACAATTACTTCTCTTTTCAGCTTCAGAGCGGAGCGTATGCGTTATATCTGTCTTAGTTGCGATGCATTTGTTCTTGTGAATTGCCTTAAAGTCCATGAGGTCAATTTTAAAACCGGGCCAAGCGTGCGGAGAATAGGAATGAATTATTATTAGACATTAGTAATCTTGGCTACATTGGTAATAATTGATGAGTTTTTGCATGAAAATGTAATTGCATTTTTTGTAAAGATAGTTTATTATTAAATATTTAAAATTGTTTGAAATAAATTAGGTGGGTCATTGGCCAAATGACCTTATGGAGAAGCCGCGACTAGGAAGGCAAGAAACTGCATTTACAATTGGGATACAAATCTACCCCGCACTGTATTCCTTGTAATCTTTTTAGCATCGCACAACGAAAGTTAAAGATAGAAACATTAATTCAGTCAAACATCCTTTTATCCAACTAAAATGCAACAATAAAACAAATTTGCTAAGAATAAATTTTATTACAATGTAAATGTCAAGTTTATAAAAAAAAATATATATATAAAAAAAATGTAAAAATGTCGAATATAATGGAATCCGCATCGAAATTAAATGCATACAATATTAAGCTGCAGAATATATAATAAAATACTTGGACTCCAGTTTAAATTCATTTGTCGGACGGAACACGTTTACTTCAGATCTTAAATTTTTAGATTCAGAATTTTTTGAAAGCGAGATTATTCTCCCTAAAAAAATTATTATTACTTTATCTTTCTACCCTACTTATGTAACCAGTCTAAATTATAATTACAAATAAAAATACATAGAAATTTATAATAACATTACAACTCAAAATCACAATTGAATTGTTCTATTTGCGTAAGCTAAAATATTTATACCCGATACGTAATACTATTAAAATTTTAAAAATATACAAATATAAAAATTCGAGACACCAATAAAACCTAATAGTAACAATATTTATAAAAATTATTTTACAAGTAAAAGTAACGAATGCCCTCTTTTGGCAAATTTGCAATAGTTTTACTGTCAGATATCTAAGAAAAAATATGATAATCTGATAGAGAATTAGATACGAGTCATTCCATACAAAATCGTCTGAAAATAAAAAAAAATGTTGCCGATCCATTTTAGATTTTGGTGTAACTTTGAGGAACTATCTTAGGGTCCCAAAGAAGGAAATTTACACCATTTTGATTTTTATAAGCACTCCTTTCCGCCTATTTAAATAAAGACTTTAAAAAATCGATATTTTTAAGCCTTATTGACTTTTCCTCTGAAATTTTTCTTTTTGACATTATTAAAGCGGAATTCTGAGTGGGGAAAGATAGTAGTTTAAGTGTAAGCATCGATAATTTGCTCAGTCAATACCTCTGATTAACGGCAGCGTGCTGAAAATGAGTGTTTTTTGATAATTTTTCGTGAATTTCAATCGACTCTAGCGTCTTAACTGCTTAGACTTAGCAGCTTATGTTCCTCAGAAATTAAGTGTATTTATCATAGATAAAATACAGCCACAAGTCAACCTGAGCAGCCCACTCTTTGCAGAAAAAATCTTTGCTTGAAGTTTTGAAATTTTCAAAAATTGCATTATTCAGGTTAGATATTAAAACACCAGAAGTTCGATAAAAAGGTAAGATATAATCTGTATTTGCGAAAAAACATCAAGAAAAACTGAATTTATAAGATAAAATAAAAAAATTGAGTTGATTTTTGCTGTAAAAAAACGACTTGCACATGCACTAAACATAAAAATAACAAAACAAGTGGTATGTTCATTTAAAGTTAAAGGTAAGAACAGTAGATTCTGAGAGTTTCAGATTTTTATCTGGCGGTCAACACGTTCATTATATAACCTGAATAATGTAATTTTTGGAAATTTCAAAACTTCAAGCAAAGGTTTTTTTGCAAAGAGTGGGCTGCTCAGGTTGACTTGTGGATGTATTTTACCTATGATATATACACTTAATTCCTGAGGAACATAAGCTGCTAAGTCTAAGCAGTTAAGACGCTAGAGTCGATTGAAATTCACGAAAAATGATTAAAAAACACTCATTTTCAGCACGCTGTCGTTATTCAGAGGTATTGACTGAGCAAATTATCGATGCTTACACTTAAACTACTACCTTTCCCCCTCAGAATTCCGCTTTAACAATGTAGTTATCTTCAAAAAGAAAAATTTCAGAGGAAAAGTCGGTAAGGCTTAAAAATATCGATTTTTTAAAAAGTCTTTATTTAAATAGGCGGAAACGAGTGCTTATAAAAATCAAACTCGTATAAATTTTCTTCTTTGAGACCCTAAGGAATAGTTCCTCGAAGTTACACCAAAATCTAAGATGGGTCAGCTTTGCCAATTAAACGATTTTAAATGGAATGACTCATACAATAGAGATGTTACATCAGCTATTGGGTAATCACAAGCTTCTCAACTTGACTTAAACCAGTTAAGAATATACGAATCGCCATGGGACTGGATGACAGAGATTTGGACTTTAAGTGGTGAAAATACTGATATAAGTATCACCCAGCCTTGGCTGTTAGAATAATAATACAAAAAGGCATTTAGTGAGAAAAGATAGATGACTTCAATCAAGTCATTACTATCGAGAGAGTTCTTTGACGTTTCAGAGCAGTGTTAATGTCCAAAAATTACAATTTTAAGCTAATGGCGGGAATATTTTGCTAAAATGCTGTAAGAATTCAATAAAATATTGAAACCAATCAAAATTGATGAGAGTAGCAAGCCACAGCCAATCTAAATTTTACCGCACAGGAGAAAATAGATGAACATCCAGGTGAACTGGGAAAAAAAATGAATGTCCATAAATATGTTTTTCTCTCGATGCTTTTTCTCATTTTATTACGCGATATTTTACTATTTTAGTAGTTCATGTGCCGTTTAATCGACCACCTGTTGTATGCTGTTTTTTTTCTCGTGCCACGTGCAATCGAAATATTTCGCAATGAGTGGCGAAGACATTGAAGTTGAGATAGTGTAGTTTTTCCTCTAAGGTCTAAGAAACGGAAATCTCATGGACGTATGAAAAACGTTGTTAAGTTATTAAAACTATGAAGCCATGAAACAGGCCCAAGTTGTAACTGTACTAGATTTGTGTTTTGAAAATATCACCGAAGGAGAGAGGTTGCAAATAATTAAACAGTTTAATGAACTTAAAGATCATGATGAACAAAATTTGTATGTGGGTAGCTTAATTTCACATGCCCCCGTTAAATGACACCGAAGTAGAAAGAATAATGATGAAGATGTTGAATATCACTCATATTCGTACACATACAAAATTCGTGTTTAACGAGATAATACAGCTATAGAAGTGCCAATATGTTATAAACCACTTTTGGACATGTTAAACACGATTGGCGAGGTCAACATTCCAATCGAAAAAAATCGTCTCCCAGATGAAATATCCACTGCCATTTTTGACCATATTGCTTCGTTTAAAGGCCGAAAATCACATTACAGTCTCCATGACTCCCAACGTGTATATTTACCGGAAGATCTTAACGTGAAAAAGATGTTCGACATGTTTTTGCAACAAAATCCTGAGAATAAGGTTTCCTACGAGACTTACAGAACTATATTTGTAACTAAATTCAACATAAGTTTTGGTTATCCACGAACGGATACCTACAGTGCCTGTGATGAGCACAAGGCCAAGAAAATGAGCATCGAAAACGATCCTTCACAAAAAGCGCTTTTATCTCGTTTGGAAACAGAACACAAACTGCATCTTCTAAAAGCTGAAACGTTTTACAAAAGAAAGAGAGCAGCCCGTTTAAATTCTCAAAACAGTACAGAAAAAGAGGCAATAGCAATGGATTTTCAAAAAAATTTGCCAGTGCTAATGATGTATATTATAAACGCCAACTTTCTTTTTATTTCTTTAATATCCATGTGCTGTCTAACTCTGCTTCATATTTTTAAATTTACATGGAAACTGCTGGAAAGAAGGGCTCACATGAAGTAGCATCTATGCTATTTCATTTTATTTTCAATTTCTTGGATAAGCGTGTCCAAGAGTTAGAAATTTTCTGCGATTCGTATAGTGGCCAAAATAAGAATTATACCTTATTTCGTTATTATCACAAACTCACCCGAAAATAATTCGACAATGTCCAACTCCTCAGCAAGTATTGACAGTAATGATACTGATATTCAGAAAGATATTTTACTTCTTAAAGAAATGTCCGAAATTCTAATTTTATTAAGAGCTGGTGCCATATTACGTAGTGCAATGGCTTCATTTCAACCAAAAACTGGATTTCTCACAACCAGATGATATTAATAAAATGACGTTCCAAATATTTTACTCCTGTTTGTGCTATGGCTTATAAATGCAAAGCTATTTGCTGAGGTAAAACAATAAACCGATGATAAAGAAGATATATATGTACCTAAATGTTTGGCGAAGGTTTCACCTGAGAAAAAAAATTACATTCGGGCAAGTATTGATAATTTTGACCTTAACGAGAAAACCATTGATGAAAAAGGAACAACACATGCTATGGTCATGGTTGTGTTTCAAGAAAAAGTCTATACAACCAATTAGAGACCCGATTAAAGAAGGTAAATTCGCTTTAAGCATAAAAGAAACGGACATAAGTCTGCAGCGACTTGAAAAATATAAGCCTAAAACTGGTCCTGTACTCCTAAATTAAAGTTACCAACAATATCTCGAGAAATTCAACTAGGTCGAAAAAGATGAATTTATTTTGGTGATTATTGAAATTTCTTTAGAATGAGTATTCTTTCCTGGGATGGAGTGATGTCTAAAATAATATTCTAGTTTCATCAGTTACGTATCTTTCCTTTTTAAATGCTCCCCCAACAGAATTTGACACAATTTTTATCGCAATAGTAAGGTTAGCACAGTTAGCAGAAAAACTGAATCAGGATCATATTGTAATAACCGCAGACTTAGCAATGTATTCCAAGGCGCGCGAAATACTGTAGAACAAACCTCCAGAATTGTCTGGGAAAGTGACTTTGCAACTTGGTAGGATGTACCTAACAATGGCATTTATTGCAGGTATAGGTTATATTTTTGCTGATGGTGGACTAACTTCTATTTTTGTCGAAACAGATATTTACACAGAAAATTCTTGTCGACTAATGCTCGATGGAAAGCGTATTATCGCGCTATTAGAAGTCTAACATTAGCAACCGATGCAGTGTCTCAATTATTTTACAAGTCGCTAAATAAATGGTACGAAGAAAATAAAGGAAAAATTTTTTTTACTGACGAGCTAAAATAAAAATGGACAGTAATAAAATCAAAAATTGACGAAGCAGGTAACTTAGAAGATCTTTCCTACTTTTAACAAAGTTGTAGCAGAATTTGTAAAGTTGGATTGCGGTTTATCAAAAACATTTAAATATTGGTACATTTTTTTGAGACAATAGATTTACTTTAGAAAATGCTAAGTGCCAAAAGAAATGGAGATGAAAATGCACTTGTGTTAAAGAAGGCCTAAAATGTTGTAACGAGTGTAAATTTAATGTCCTTCCTGCAACGACAGTATCAAAGATTTTGACGTAGATCCAGAATATGACGAATTAGAGTGCTCTTAATAATAAATATTTCAACGATAAACCTTACTTTAGGTTTATATTTTTAATTTAATTCAATTCAAAATATTTAATATACTACTAATTAGGTAAGTATAGGGGGTTAGTTTATAACGCTGATTGATATTTATATACCTATCTTTTGGATCTCTTTTTATATTTTTTACCTTTGCAGCTGCTTTACATCCCTACCTGTTTTAGAGCTATTGAAATGAGTCCGTCTCCTACATATTATCAGAACTAAGAACGTTCCGACCGATAGGGACCGTCCGCCGGTCGCGCTCGCAAGCCGGAGCCGAGCGCGCAAAAGTATGATTTTGGCCCGTTTATGAAAAATCGCTGACTCGATACTATAACCGACACATAAAAAGTTTTCATTATAAAAACTTTTTTTGACTATTGGATTCAATTTGTTCGCAGCATATATGTACAAATTTTTAGAAATAATTTTTTTCTCGATTGCTTAAAATTACGTTACTGAAAATAACAAATTAACATTATTTTTTTTTTTTGGATTTAAGTGGGGTATTTTTCAAAGCGCTATTGTGTCTACTTTAATATGTAAAAACAGATATAGCGGTGGAGACGTCAAAAAACATGTTTTATAAAAAAATCAATTTTTTTAAGTTTTCTCAAAATAAAAAAGTTCTCGACCATCAAAAAATGTCGTCAAAAATGATTTCGTGTACCCGATTACCTTACTAAACTAAGCGACTTTACTTCCAAGTTTTACTCCGCTATATGATAAATTACTCCATTTCCCCACTCGAACCTATGTCGTATAACTCCCAATATTTTTTTTCCAGCTACAAAAATAAACCTGTGCACTCAATAATTGGTAACAAAGTAATCTACCTGGTATTGAGAAAAAAATATTTGAACCAAATATATTTTCAGACAAGTATTGTAGAAGTCTTCAAATTTTAAAATCCTACTTTTTCAGAAACTCATTTTTGTGACATTCATCTATTTTCCCCTGCACCCTTCATATTTATCCCATGTTTTGTCGACAATTTGACTTGTGTTAATAGGAAAAACTATTTTATATTCCTTCAAATTCAGGAATAACATGTTCTTCGGCGGTTTTCAATAAAGAGATTACCTTGATTATTCGATGAAAGGGCATTTTATACCAATCTTTCTCTTTATTTATTTCTTTATATTCACAGTATCTAAAATATTTATTTTCCTTCATTTCACAAGCCTGTAATCTTTGATTTTATTCATGGTTAATGTTTTGTGCAACATTATTTTTTATGTATTATTTTCCACTAATTTCCAGATTAAGGTTAGCATTGTCTAAGAGTGTTATTATTATTAATTACCTAATTAGTTTTTCTATCAAACTATTTTAAAATACTAAACATTTCGTAGTGGTTAAAACCATTGTTCAGTACTAAATTTCGAATTCTCCCTTGAAACGTAATTATAGACGCTACAGTGAAAAATAAATTTGATCCAATTCCTAACAGAAACACAAGAGATGGCAATCTGACGCCTTAATAGGTCCCTACTTTCACAATATTTGTCAAGTTTTATATAAAAGTATTTTTTTTTTACCGCTAGAGGGCAACCGCTAACTTTGACTTGCCTGTTATTAGTATATACATAATTTTACATGAAGTATTTCTTGATGCATACATAAATTGTGTGCGAAAGTTATTGGATATTTTTTTATGTTAAAGCTAGACTTTGTACTTTATCAAGCTGCCTTCAGCTTTTTTTATGTACAAAATTAGAATACATTAATGAAATTTGTTCAATAAAAACATAACAATTAAAAGCCTTTTATCCAATATTGCATCATCCACGCAAAAATATATATAAAAAAAGATCTCTATTGAGTATCATTAATTGACTCTTGTCATATAAGGCGATAATGTTTCTTTGAAAGAAACAAAATAACAATATAATTATTAAAAAAAAATATGGACGGTATATCAAATCTTAAAGGCACTTTTTTCGAGAAGGCCACTTTGTAAAACTACAGTTTGGCCGTCAAAGTAATATTTTAAGTTAAAAACTCATGAGAATATTATTCTTACGTTAAAATATATGCGTCAAATTGGCGCAGTCCGTAAAAGATACGCAAATAAAACTTTGATGGCCAATTTTTGATTCAACTAAAATTATCTAAACCCATTGAACACAAGTGAAAGAAATACTAGCGCAAATAGTGTCGTAGCGCTTACTTTTAAGCCATTGGCGCCGGCTAATCGACACTTGAACATATTAAAACGTGTTTCGTTGTCGTCGACGAGATTGGTAAATTCGGCTTCTATCAATTGCCCGTCATAGTAAGTTATTGGATCTTCGAAGGGATACTCGTACCCCTGTTTGCACTCGCATTTGTAACCACCCGTCTCGAAACCTCGTCCTTGTATAGGAACGCACTGAAAGAAATGAAATCAGGATCAGTAATCATTTCGGAACTTGTAATAGATTTAGTGCTTACATATGACGTCTTGTGATCACATTTTTCCGTCCCTTCAAAAGCATTTGTAGCATAGTATGGATCAGGGCACTGATTGATATCCAACTTTAATAAATCCATGGTAACTGCAACGACACCCCTATAAAAAATAATTTGAAATTAGACATCAAGTAACTGACTTGTAAATTAAATCACTCACTTAAATTCCAGCTTGGCCTTAAGACTGTCCCATCCGAAAAACGGAGAAACATATTTAATCTTCCACATGGGTACTTTTCCGTAACAATCATAATAAGGTTGACTCCAGAAGCCATGTTCCAATCTAGCTCCTCTGTAATAAGTCGGAAAACGTTCATATTTCACTGTATTTTCCCCGGTTTCGTTAAATCTGATCCTGATCTTCATCCAGAACTTTTCCAAGCTGTCAAAGTTCGAAGCCCATCTGTGTTTCTGGAATTTGAACCATTGCTTGTTGAGATACACCTCGTCGGGTTTGTCCAATCGCGCCAAGTCTTCTACGTTGAACTTTCTGGTGTTCAAGGCTTTTTTGTAGGCGTACGGGGCGAAAAGAGTACGATTAGGGAATTTGTTTCGTTCCCAGTAGGTTCCTGCAGACCATATGCGGCTGTTCCCTAAAAATGCAAAAAGAACAATATTTAGTAATCCTTATAGTCTGATGTTTTAAAGGAAAGCAAATGAAAATAATATTTACCTAATACTAGTGCAAGTGTTTCTCCAATCATCTGATCCTCGGTCAAATCTCTGTCAGCCACTCTTTTCCCGGAATAAACTTCCTTAGGATCTGAAACCTGTAGAAACGCGCTTATAAAATTGGCCAATCGGAGAGCCATTTTTGCTTCATTTTCAAAAAATTCCTCTGCACCAAACATCGCTCCTCCATACAACAACAAGTCTTCGGGTTTGTAGTTCTTACAATTATCTTTATTCATACCCAAGATGAAGTCCAAGACTCGATGGATGTTCAATTTGGACTGGCTTAAACTAGCCGGACCGTGAACTTGGTCGCGGTATTCGGGATATTTATCCATTGCTTCCTCTCGCAAATATCTGTCGGATTTTTCCCATTGCACAGGCAGTTTTTGAATCCCTATAAAAAGAAAATTCGTTAAAACTATTCACGCAGTCAAAAGTACACTGGACAGACGGATATGACTTAGAAGACATAAAAAAATTGTTGTTTTTAATATACTCACATCCGATTTTTTGACAGTCAAATCCGTTGTAATATTGTTCGGCTGTAGCTCTTTCGATTATTTCGCCCAAGAAAGGTCGTCTGGTTTGCATTGGTAGCCGGTAACCGGGATTACAGCGACATTGATAGCCTCCCCTTCGAAAACCCCATCCATGAAGTGGTTCACACTAAAATTGTAAAAGTCAATGACAAGCGTGTCTTATAAACGTGTGTGTTCCTAAATATACAAAATATAGTTGTTACATACCTCAGTCGTTACATTTTTACACCGTGCCGTATCTGCGAACATATTTGGACCATCGTTACCCTTACCAGGGGGGCACTGATTGATATCTATTCTCTCAAAATCCATTTCAACTACAGCGGCGGCTGTATATCTAAAACCAAAAATTACTATTTAATCCCATACTACTCTCCAACTCTCTGTATAATCGAGATAATACATTAATAATACAATCTCAGCACAGAACATAAACCAGTCCAAGGCGAGAGTGGAAAAAAACTCGAAGAAGGAAGAAATAATTTTATTCATTATAGTTTATAGTGTATATTAAGTTTTAACTAGTAAGTTAAAATAATTGCTGTCAATAACTAAAAGAGCTGCTTCATAGCCTAGGTCTCTTGCCTGTTCTTAACAATAATAATAATAATAATAACAACCATAAGACATTCGACACAACTTCGCATGAGCTAATCACACAGTTGTTGAGAACCCTCTCGGTGCCAGACCCTATATTGGGATGCAAACAACAACTGATGCCGCTCTGGAAAACTCGCTTTTCTATAACATCCGGAAATGCAAAAGTCAAAACAGGGTTGGTGTCATTCAGAAAAGAAATATTTCAAGGAGATTTCTTGAGTACCCCCCTTCTATTCCGCATCTCTTTAATGCCGTTGTCTAGCTTTACAAAAAACTCGGGGATACGTGTGTGGCCCACCTGGAAATCGAAGACATAAAGTTACTCATCTTTTTTACATGGACGACTTAAAGCTTTATGCATCCAACGAGAGGGAATAACCCAAACAATCCCTACGTGTGGTACAGGACTACACGGAGTTAGGATTAAACAAATGTGCACATATCCAGCTCAACAGGGAGTCCGATATGAGATTTTGGAGAGGAAATGCAGCTTGTGAATGGAAATGTTTTACATTTAAACCTATACCTACATGGGGATGCAACAACGTTAAATGCATGAGGTTGCTCTCATTAAAGAGACTCGATAAGTACCAGAAACTCATTCGGCAGATTTGGTCATCAAAACTGTTTCTAAAAACAAAATGGGTGCTCCATCCTCCTTTACTCATTTGGAGTAATAAAGTGGGTACATAAGAGCTGTGCCAACTATACATCAAGACCTGCAAGATGGATGCATCTCCATAGAAATTTGCATCCAAATTCATCTATACAAAGAATATACCTTGCACGCGACCAGGGAGGCAGAGGGCTGTTGAGCATATAAAACATCTTCACCATAATATATTGGATCTGGGCTGCAAAATAACACTAAATTCAGACCCTCTTTACGCGACCACGAAAGTGATGGAAAATGAGCCTTTATATTCAAGACAGCAAGAAGAACAGCTGAAGGTCTTGACCTTGTCTTCGATGCGCGAGGAAATATAGAATCCATCACTGAGAGACTTTAACTTTAAAATCCCACTTAAAAGTTGCAGAACAGGCTATGCTGAAGCGACAGCATATGGATAAGCCTATGCATAGCGTTTTCTTCTTCAAAAACATCGAAGATCTATGCTTATCCAAGCGACTGACTTTTGGCTTTTTAAGGTCAAGTGGCCTCAAATCGGAAACTGAGGGATTTTTATTGGCCCGTCAAGATGGGGTTCACAACACTCTTGTCTATCCGAGAAATGTACTGGGTTTAGACACGCCTGATGTTAGCTGCAGGGCCTGCCACAGAGCACAAGAGACCATCATGGATTTACTATCGGCATGTCCGAAATACGCAGTCTCGGCCTACGTCCATCGACTCAACGCAGCTCTAAGAATGCTTTACTTTCAGATGGACACTCTTATACGAACCAGAAGATGATTGAGTCCGTGGAAAACGACCAATGTCACATATACTAGAACTACTCGTTCTCTACACTCAGGCATTTGCAAGCAAACAAGCCAGATATAACCCTTCTAGACCATCAAAAGAAGGCGATATATGTTATCAAATTTTCGGCATCCAGTGAGAAATACATCGCCAGAAAGGAGGAGGAAAAGCGAATAAAATATGAGATCTCATCTTATGACCCCCCTCTGGTTTTGCTTTTTCCGTTTTTATAATTTTTATCCAAAATCGTGCCTTCGAAAATTTGATGGAAATAGCCGAAGAACAGTACGAGTTTTGCGACAATTAATACCTTGTCGAATACCGAATATCACCAATTGTGTTGGTTGCACGGGAGTTTTTTAATAATATGATTTACATATAACAACAAAAATTAATTGAAACGCCACATGAATCAATTTTGCCTAACAAAAAGCAGTCCACTTTCAATTATTTACTTGGTAACGAACCAGAAAGTTTGGGTAGAATATACGAATTGAATGAATCGGAAGGAATGGGGCATTCCAATGATGGTACAACAAGCCATTAAGGCTGCAGTGCTGCTTTGCGAACCCCAAAGGAGGGAAAAGCAGGCAGGAACTCAACCCTGATTGAGGGGAGCAACTGGCTGGACCCAATTCTGATTGGAGGAGCAAAGGGATGCCTGAAACGGTAAAAAAATAGATGAGGGTGACAATAAATAAGGAAGAAAAACGAAAGGAATGGTACTAGTTTAAATGAATATACTGAAAGGTATTTATTTAAACGGGATCAACTCCATTACAAAGCAAAACTTATGTGTTTTGCTTTGATGATGATAATGATAAATGTAAATTATAAATTAAATTAAAAAATACAAGTAAGAGAAAAAAAAGTTAAAATTAACCAATTAACTTATGAAAATATCTAGGAATGCAAAAAGTCAAAAACAGAGAAAATCGAAGAAGAAACCATGGATCTACTTTTAGAGTAAAAACAAACTTCTATAGAGTCGACGGTCGAGCTGTGGTCGAATGAACTATTCAGACGGTCATTTATTTCAGCGGCAATGGTGCAAGTTTACTACCAATATGTCGCCTACGTGCTATAATAGACTTGTTGAGTCGACGGTCGACTCGAACTCTCCTGTATATTTATATCAATGGACAATGTACTTATTTTTTATTTTATTAACATTTTAGTTAAAAATACGTTAGAAATGTGACACAAGCCATATTTAGACAAACATTTTTATGTTATCCTTTTCCATAGTATTTTTTTCAGGTGTCTTGCATTAGTTAGTGCCACTAATTGTTCTGGTAACCCAATATTAATCAGTTTGCTGGCTTGTACTTTTGCCACTAATTATTTTTTAATAAAACACCAGAAATGGTGTCTAAAATACAGAATGTGAAGACCCAGTTGTAGAACGTGAAGGCCTTGGTGTACAACTAGGTGTGGAATGCACAAGCTTCACCATCTTTCACCGATATCACAGTCCATGGCCATCTCATCAGTTATTTCGTTAACGAACGACCTTTGGATTTACGTTCCAACGTCATAACCATTAGACCACCGGAGTGGTATACATCCAGTGACCTGATTGTTAATTTGACTTCAAGATTCGACGCCAACTCGGTTTAGCAGATCTTTTTTTAAAAATAAACTTTTCATGTTATAAATATTACACCAAGCCATTTTTATTAGGCCACCCGGTACATGTATGATACTTTTAAAAGCGTGCACATTAATTTCAACCTTTAACAATATTAATAAAGCAATTCTCTGAAGTAATTTAATAAAACGTTTGACTCCATTATCAAAATAATAAAACATGCAATACCATTAAGCACCGTTATTTCAAATATACCCTTATGAATAATATCGTTTACTGCCCTTTTCCGTCGACTCGCTAATCCCTTTGGAGTTATTTAATCTTCATATTGTGTATCGCACAATTTATCCTCTAATGGTTGGCGGGTAGAATTCCAAAAAGGGCTATCGAGTGTCGCCGGTAATGGTAATTTAATCATTCTTTTACAGGATGGATTAGGTATTTAATGAAGGTTAATACTTTTGGATACGGTTTCGTAAGGCCTGCCTGAAACCCGTTTATTTTATATATTTTATATAGGCTATCGGTACAAATTGTTTTTTGATGACTAATATACACAAGCGACTAATTATGTAACGTGAAAATTCCTTCTAGCGGACGTTCAAGTACTACGTAAGCAAACTTTCAATGATTTTAGACACCTCTGTATATACGAAAAAAAGAAAAAACTTGAACCCTCTTCCCCAAATGATAACACGTAAGAATGTTTTCAAAATTTTTATTAAGTAGTAGTCTTAGTACTTCTGGGGTTCGCTGAATTGAACATCGGTACATTTAAAAAGACTAAATCAAGACTATACTTAAATTCTCGGAAACTCATTTATTTCTAATATGAAAAGAAATTCGGCATAACTATATTTATTAAAATAGTATAATTAATTTAATTTATAAATATTATTTTTGAAAATATTTTTATTATTTTGTATTTTGTTTTATTTTACGTAAACTTTATATCTTCCCGTTCCCTTTGTCAGCCAAAATAAGTAAAAAAATGATCCCCCGCACCCTAAGCCTGTTTAAGTGATACTTGAATGCCCCCGTACGAAATTAGGGAATTTATCCTTACATCCCCAAAAGTAAAAAATTGAAAAAGCTGAGAAATAAAGAAAAAAATTAGTGCCGCCACCAGGGATTGAAAGCGTAATCTCAGAGTGAATCCTAAGTAGATATATTTTTTAACTATGTATAGAAATAGTTAAAATAAACATTTTTTTCAAATAACTTTTCAAAAAACTCAAAAATAAGAATGATACAAAATTAAATAACCTAATAGAAATAGTTAAAATAAACATTTTTTTAAAAAACTCAAAAATAAGAATGATACAAAATTAAACAACCTAAATCCGGGACTTCACTTGTGTAAAAAAGTTTCAATAAATAATAGATCGGTTTTTTTCTTTTTTTTTTCGGGTTTTCTTATAAATCACGATTCATTTTTTACCGGTTATTGTAATTTAGTCGTGTGTGATTCCAATAGCGTGTTTGACCTGAAGTAGTGAATTTAAATGGTTCAGTATAGTAAATTAAAAATAAAGTGTGTTCACAAAAACACATTTTAAATGTTATCGAGGAAGAGCCAACAAGTACGCGGGTGATTGCACATCAGATGGGAGTAAGACAAAAAAGTGTGGAAAATCAATTGTATCCGCGATTTAATCTAAGCGATACGCCCTCTGGAGGATATTTGTAAAAGGTGTCTGGAAGTAGAACATTTTCCAATATT